GGAGCATCCAGGAGAGGGTGGGGTCTGCTCTAGAAAGCCCTTAGGCAGTTCTAGAAAACATGCATTTGCCCATAAAACCAATCGGGCCTATGTGCCTTCTTTCTGGATTTTTCTGAGAATTTTCAAACAACTAACTCTGTTAAGTTACATCTTTCTAGGAAATTGGTCATTTTGCCCAGGTTTTCCAACTGAACAGCACAGAGTCCTCCTTACCATCTCAGGCTGAGCAGGATGGCATCCCTCCTTCATTACACACTGAGGGTGTCATGGGAAGGGATCCCACCCATCAGCACTCCCCGCCCCCATCAGAACATGTTTTGGTCAGTCATTAAGAAAGCTTAGGAATTGCTCTTTACTGCCCAGAAGTCAGTCAGGGAGGCAGCAGTTCAGAAGCCAGCTCTGGAGTCAAACTGCCTGGGTCTCTCACCCGGTCCCAACCCAGGCACTGTAACCTCAGCCTTCACCTCTGTAAAATGAATAGTAGCTGCCTCTCAGGACTGCCATGAGGGTCACCAGATGTACTTTGTAAACTCCCATGTCCTATCTCAGGGAAGTTCCTATTTTCTAAACTTCCAATTTAAAACTTCTCACCTCACAAACTTTCCCCTTACAAAATTTTGTAAATGCAAATACAAGATTAAGAACACAAGCCTCTGAGCTCTTCCCAGTGAGAACACCTGTATTCTCACCTGAGCTACCCTGGAGCTTATTAGTCGAAGACAGTGGTTCCCAAAGAAGGGTCCCTGGACCAGCTACTGCCACTGCCCTCTGGGGGTCCATGCTAGCTCTACCCTCCAGATGCTGGAGGTCTCAAGAGTCACAGGGCCTTTCCCATGCTGGTGCTCAGTGCTGCAGTGCTTTGAAAACATGGCTTCTCCACTGTGATCGATAAAGGGAAAATGATGATCATGTGGGAAGAGTGAGGAGGAAGAGATAAACATTCTAGAAGTGAAGGCTGAGATCATGGTAAAAGATCAGCGTGGAGGAAAGGGCAAATGTTGCACATTTGTGTGTGCTGACTCGCTCAAGGGTAGGAATAATTCTGCGAACACTAAATCATGCAGCGTCTGAGTGGTAAGGCCGGGAGACACAAGACAGTCCTCACGCATGACACACGGGGAAGGATTCTCAGAAAAAGAAGTGGACTCAGAGCCACAGGCTCAGCACCCACAGTGGGGCTCATGGGCTTCACAGGGACCTGGAGCAGGCTGGGAGGCTGAGTCGTCCCAGGCTGGAAATGAAACAATGGGTCCGGCTGAGGGATCCCGAGGTCAAGGCGCACACGAATCTGAACAGTGTGGACGCTTCAGTCTGGTCAGACAAGAGCTCAGAGCAGTTCTCCTGGCCAGCACAGGAAGGCTGCCTAACCCAACAGCGCTTCCAAAAGCTAAAACCTCTCTGTTTTATCCTGTTTTTGAGGGGAGGGGGAAGAGAGAGGCCTTGTGAAAAGCCTATCAGAGAAGAGGAAAAACTGTGTCAGGTGTTAAAGTTTTGAAGGCCAACTCACACTCCCATCTACGAGCTTACACCCCAAAGAGTAACTCTGGATCTACCAACAAACGCATCTGTGAGCCAGCAACTCAGCAGGGGCTGCTGTCTACACCCACGGCCATTAAAATCCAGCATTCAGGGTTACCTTGCCCCCTGAGATCCCCATTCATTCGATCAGGGTGGAACCACAGTAACAAGCTCCCCAAGGGATACCGAGGCAGATGGTCTCAGGACCACAAAGCCATGTGCCATGACCGGAGAAGAATTGGAACCAAGTGGCACTGAGCTTATTTACAAACACTGCTACAGAGAGCAAAGTCAGAAACCAAAGCACCACCACAGTGCAGCCCCGATTTTGCATCTGCTCCCACAGCACAGATCAGGGAAGTCAGCAGAAGTGAGTAACACGTTCATTATGTAAGTTGCTGTTCTGTATGCAAAACCTTAACTCACCAAAAGAAGTGCAAGCCATATAAAAAGCAACAACCCACGCCCAAAGCACATGCCACACAGTGCAGCCAGGAGCCCCGTCACCTCTGCCAGGCATCTCCTCTGCTGCCCCAGACCCCTGGCCCACCCTCAAAGGCTGGGAAGTGGGTCCCGGGGTCCAGGTCCCCTGGGTGAGTGAGGGAGAGGTGGGAGGGCCTTTGGGGTTCCACTGGGCATGGACGTTGTCTTCGTCAGTGCTTCCCTCTGGTGGAAAACAGAATGGGGCCATGTTTTGTTTCACTACACTTCCGACTCGAGGGAAAGTTCCAGTTCTACCACACCTCCTGTCTTGGGTCTTGGGTCCAAGAACCCCAAACTACTCTCTTTGACATTACCCTTCTCTTTCGGGCGAAGATTATCAGTCCTGGATAACAAGCTAGTTCTAACTACAGAATTAAAGGCCGGACGTGGACAAGACATGGATCACTACCAGTGATGAGAGAAGTCACGAATGCAGGTATGACAGAGGTGTATCACGTCTACCACATGCAAGTTACTCCCTCCATGGAGTCAGGCTGTCTTCTCAACGTGGAGCCAAAGGCAGCCCCTCAATACATGGAAGAGTAGACTGTGAGTTTCAGGAGCAAATCCTACCTATGTTTTTATTACTCTACTCCAATACCTAGCATGGTGACTAATCCTGAGAACTGCTTGGAAAATCAGTACTGAATCGAATTCAGTTGGAAGTGAAACTTCAGGGCCACGCCTACTTGCCCTACAGCATCTCTTCACGGGGGGCCCCATTAGAAGTCCAGCTTCCAGGCTCTAGCCCAGGCCCAGCGATCAGATGCTGTGGGCTCTGCGTTTCACACAGGTTGCCCATGACCTTCCACACATGAAATCTGAGAACAACTGCCTTACCCCACAGGAGGATCTTTGGAGGGCAAGCACTACTGTGGGACGCAAGTGACCAGAAAGGCCCTTCTGGAACACCTGAAGCGGAGCACAGCACAGGCAGGCAGCCTGCTCTGCTCCTTCTAGGCTTGCACACCATGGAACAGAGGACGCAGGGTATCAGACAGGGCGAGGAAGGACTAGAACAGTAGTTTGGAGCTGGCCAGACCACCCCAGGCCTCCCCAGCTGGCCTCACCTGCTTCCCCTGACCGTGGGATACCCGGCCCCATCACCAGGTCGTGGATCAGGATGCATCAGCGAGGCACGTGGCACATGTGGTTGGACGTGGGCACCCTCTCTCTTTCCCACTGAGGTCTGGTGGCTCCCTCAGCAAATCCCTCCCTGGAGCCTCTCCCTACTCTGAGGGCAGCCGTGTTCTCAGCAGGGCAGGGGAGCCAACTGCCAGGTGCTAGGGATCCCCCAGGGATCCCCCAGGCCCCAGAACGGCACCCGGGGAGCCTCAGGAGCTCCCTCGCCCCACTTCTGAGACAGGGAGCTCTGAGACTGCCAGCAGCTACCACAGGAACATCAAACAGGATGCTCCTGCCAGGCCTCGTTTACACAAGCCCACTTCTCCCCAAGAGATGGCTGTTTAACACAAACAGCTCTTCCATCTGCTCGTGGGTACTGGCACCTCGGCATCCGGGATCCCCGGACAGAAACATGAGTTAGGCTGAGGCCAAGGCAACCAAATAAATCTGTTCGGGTGCAATTCCTCTCCACGGACAAAGAGGAACCTCAAAGTGACTGCTCAGGCTCCCCCTGTGGAACAGGCCCTGAACGCCTCACGCCCTACAATCACCACCATCTTCCCAGTGTGCGTTTGCCTCACCCCCCCACCCATCCAGCTGTGCCTGCTGCACCCAGCATCCCTATCCCCGTACACTCTGGCTCCCTCTGGGACATCCGATGGCCTTGCTCTCCTAGCCACAGACTATCCGTGCCCACTCGGGACTTCCTGGCACCCCAAGGCTTAGACCTTTCACAGCTAAAATGGAAACTGCAGCAGGTAGACACGCAGGTGTCCCTGGAAGGAGAGCACACAGGTAGCTGGCACGGAGACGTCGCCCACGAGGTACTCGGATAAGGAGCAGTTTGACTACCGAGGAAATGCCAGGTTTGGGAGTTTGAATGACCAGGGTCATTGCCTCCTTTTCCTTAATTTTAGCTGTAGAGATTCAGCAGACAGGAGGAATTCCATAATCTAACACAATATACTCAAGCTGTCTGGCTTCCAGGACGGAATAAGAAGGTGCAAACCAAAGCATTAGCGCAGGATGGCATCAGAGCTGCGTTTAACTCCTGCTAGGGTCTGGATGGTGGTGTCCCCCAGAGTCACATGTTGGAGCCTGACCTCCGACGCAATAGCATCAAAAGCTGGAGCTTCTTAGGAGGTGATCAGTCATGAACAGAACGAGTTCCCAAATAGAAGAAGCTGCAATGAGATGCCTGTCCTTCCACCAGGGAAGGACACAGCTAGACGGACTGTCTATGAGGCCCAGGCCCTCATCCCACACTCACTCTGCTGGCTCCCTGATCTTGGGCTTCCGGTCTCTGGAACTCTGAGAGACAAATCTCTACTGTTTATAAATCACCCAGTCTAAGTTCTTTGGTTGTAGCATCCTGCATGGAGTAAGACGGGACCCAATGCAGAAATGAGCCCAGTCATCCTACTGACACTGACAGCGAGAAACTCCAGCTATGGACTGCACTGGCAAAGGCCTAAGAGGGAAGAGTCCACCCTGGCCCAGGCTCCACTCCCAGCACCATCCTGCTGGGCCACATTGAGAGGGAAGCAAGGGCTCTGTGTGGCGCCTGGAAAGCCACTGGCCCTCAGAGGACTTGAGCCCTGGTTTTTGGGTGTGAGACTCAGAGAGCCCCTTGGCAATGTAGATGTGGAGGGGTGACCATGGCCTTGGGTGCCTCCAAGCACAGCCAGGGACTCCCCACCCAGTCTGGCCTCAGCTCAGCAGTATGCGCACTAAGCATGGAGTCAGGGGTGAGGGGAGAACTGCTGAGCAGCTAAGGTCAAGGATGGGGGTGTTCTTGTGAATATCTCTGGGCTGCAGACAAAAGCCCACCCACCACGCCAGGGCCAAACCCAAGAGAAAGAAAAGCCACAGACCCAGCCCGTTCTCCACCAGCGCCGAGTGGGGCCCATCACATTCGCCACTGCTGGCGTCCTGCTCTCCGACAGGGTCGGTCAGATCCACATCAGGCTGATGGGACCCGTTTCCAAAGTGCCTCTCGTCCTTCTCAGAGCCGGCATCCCCGTTCTCCATGCCGTTCGGGGCCTTTTTCATGGGCATGATCTGCAGGCCACTGGGCGTAGTCCTGTACGACACAGTCTTGGCAGCCCTGTCTCCAGCCCCCGGGGGTTTGCCTGAGTAGCCCTTCCTGGGCTTGGACAGGGGCGGGTTGATTCGCTTCCGCTTGTGGGAAGCCCCTTTGCTCTTTCCCGGCTCCGCGGGCCTGTGGGAGAGTTTCTCCACCGACGACGCGGGGCTTCGGGTGTCCCGCAGGAGCTTGGAGGTGCCCGCCTGCTTCCCGGACTTGACCCTCTTGTCCTTGGTCAGGTGCAGCCCGTTGAACTCATCGATGAACTCCTCACAGTGCAGGAGGTGGTGCTCTGGCTCCCACGTGTCCTCCGTGCTCCCGTAGCCTTTCCACCGGATGAGGTACTCCCATTTTCCCTTCTTGTTCTTCCTCTTGTCAACAATCCGTTCGACCTGAGGCAGAAGACAAGAGTGAGAGAAGAGAGAGGAAAGTCAGTCACAGGCACTGAGGACACCACCAAGCCCTGACCAGGGATCAGCGCCACTCCTGGGACTGCTCGCAGCCTGGGCTTATGCCAGGGTGTCACTGAGGGAGCCGGAGTCACACTCACAGTCCTGACCCATGATGGCTTCTGACCCCATTCCCCGATGGGCGCCCAGCATCACACTGCAGGCTCTCTCCAGAGATTTGCATTCCTTTCCATGACTGCAACGTGGACAGAGACTTTGAAAGTCCAATGTGGTGTGTGCTTTTAATAAGTAACATTTATGGAGCACCTATATGGATAGCACTGTGCTAATGGGTCCTCATCTGTAATACTGATGATCATTAACACTTCCTGGACCAAGGGCTGGGCGCAGGCTCTCCCATCTCACCTTCTGACAACTACTCAATGGGTTAAGTTATGTTCCCTCGCCCTATTTCACAAGGATTAAATAATTTAACCAAACTGCAAAGTTGGTAAGGGCAGAGCTAGGGTATGAACCACTCTCACCCTGAACCTATTCTCTTCATCACACTGGCACTCTCAACCGCAAGGCTCTCCCGGAGGGATCAGAAAGGATCTGAATCAACAAGGCCCAGTTCCCCCAGGCAGCAAGCCTGGCTGCCACACAGGGCAGAGAGAGAAAGAGAGGTAGGCAGCGTTGCTGAGAACCTACTGTGTGCCCTGCATAACCCCATGGCATACACTCTTATTATTCCCATTTACACATGAAGAGGTCTCAAGGCAGCCGACCTATGATGCATGGCCAGGATATGGTGGAGATGGGATTTGAACCTGTTGTCTGGGTCTACAGCCATGTGCTCCTGTCAGTGTGTCACTAAAGGTAAGAGAATCCCGCCCTGGTCCCATAGACAGACACATATAGGGAAATGCCAGCCCTAATACCAATCACTGATGTATCTAAGTGAAGGATATTTTGAGTTCATTTATTGTTATATTATCATTTCTACTTTGCTGTAGATCTGACATTTTTTAAATTTAAAAAAAATGGAGGGGAATTCCCAAAGCTTTAGCCCCAAAATACTAAATTTCAATGAAAAAGTAAGCAATGCTATTCAAAAGTGTGTCATCATTCAATGACTATATCATATACTCTTACAGAATGGGATTCTGATGCAATGAAACTAAGCAACAAGTGAAGAATACGTCTCTGAAGTTTATAAAAGGAAAAACAGGAGAAGGAAAGTGGGTACACTTAAGTTGCTAGTTGCTGAAGATGAGTAATAGATACATGAGGATCATTATGACTCTGTTTACATGCTTGAATTTTCCTAAACTGGGATTTCTCACCAGGAGTTTTAAACAACAGAAGCTATGGAAAATAATTAAACAGTTTCTACTGTTTTGTAACTAATAAGTATGGAAATAGCTAGGCTCTACTTTCCCTTCATAATACTACCTCTCACAGACAATTTTAATTGCTTCCATAACTTATTTATCTCCACTTAAATTGGCCAATGTCTATTACAATCTATTCCTTTACAAAATGTTCTGTGAACATCTGTTTTAGATTTATTGGATAATTTTTATATGTATCACAAAAATTCTTTAACAGTTTTTAAAAAATAAAATCATGCCCAACTCATCCAACTTCTGACCTGTGGGTCAGGGAACAGAGCTGGTTTGTGTACTGTTTGTGACAGTGCTTCAGGGAGCCCACAGTGCTTCAGCAGGAGCTTGCCACTTTGCTTACTTTGAGGATGTTGTAGGGGGGGTATGTTCCGCAGGGACGAAAGTGAATATGCAGAGGACACCAAGTAAGCCCAGGTATTCTAAGGAGCTATGTGTACTGCCATGGAGGTCTCCAGCTCTATAAAGCACATGGTCAGCTCTCAGGATGGTGGAATTTCTCCCAGAGATGATGCAGAGGACCATGTTAGACAGACACTCACACAATGGGTGGATGGGTGGGTGGATCCATGATGGATAGATGGAGAAGTGGGTGGGTGGATGAATGAATGAATGAATGGATGAACAGATGAATCGTGTAATAAGTGAGAGGATGGATGGATGACAGATGAAAGAATAGGTAGAAAGCTGTGTTCATGAATGAGCTAAAGGTAAAATGTGAGAGCTTTAGAGCAAGACATTTGGTTTAAATCTGCTGTTTAAGCCTTATCATGTGTTCTGGAGCAAGTTTCTAAACCTCTTTGGCCCTCAGATGACTCATCTAGCAAAGAGGAAGTAACACGCCTACTTCGTAGGGTGGCTGTACAGAATATACAAATATGTGTTTTCACATTCCACAGTAAAGGTCATGAAATCTTGCGTAGCTTCCTATGACCACAAACCTTGCTGGTGTCTAAAGACAGAATGTTTCCTCATCGGCACAATGTGTCCTTTAGGACGATCCACTCCTCCCTGGGGAGAAGAGAGTCCACCTGCTCAGATAAGCCCTTCTATTCGTGGAAGATGGTTGTGTCCTGCAGGGCTGCTGGAGAAGCTGAAGCGGGTGGTCAACAGGTCTACCCAGCTGTTTGGGGCCATTATGGAAGGAAAGATTAGTTTTGTTCCTTCCAAGTTACTGGCGGTTTCAATCACAGAGTCACAAGTTGCTTTATGGAGGACAAAAGGCCAGTGCTTCCACCCCTGGTCCCACCCACAGAGGCCCCAGATACTTTACCTGGCACCAAATAAGAACACATGAACAGGATCATCCCTAGTAGCCCACTGTTTGCAGAAAACAACTGTTGGCTCTGGCACCTTCTATTCCTATGACCCTGGGCAACTCACCCAACCCTCTGGAACTCCGTGTCCCTGTCTACTAAATACACTTAATAAAAACAACAACAACCATAGGGGTTCAGGAGAACAGAAAAGATTAAGAAATGAGAAAAGTGTCTTGAGCACCCCAAATCACACTGAAGAGAGGAACAGATTGCTTTGGCACACACGAAACCAGATGGCGACAGCGCTTTTTTGTACGTTATTTCACCCAATGTTTAAAACAAACAAACAAAAAGTTATTTTCAGATTTGGAAAACCGATTGCTTTTTCTAAAAGACCAAAATGCCTTCAAGGAACTCAGAAGACAACTCACCCCAAATATTCTAGCCTACTTTATCCCTGTCCTCTCTGGGACTTATTCTCCTTCACATTGTTGTGTTGATTTTCAGACCCCCTTTTCCTCACCTCAGGAGTGGCTCCAACAGAGTCTGGATTCTAATTTGCTATCACTGCAACACTCCCTATCTGGGGAACCTCTCTTCTCCTGAAGGCCCCGACCCGCTCCATGCCTCCTAACTCCTTCACACCGCAGACAGCAGCAGAGAAGTGGCCCCTGCTCCTGGCGATTCTGTCTGAGATGCAGCCCCACCTGCACAGGCTGTGTGCATCCTCGAAGCTCAGTCCTTCTGAATGCAAGCGATGCTGATCCCCTTCCCTTGCACTTGCACATCCTAACGAACACACGGATATTAGAAAATCCAGCTTGCCCACAACCCCCCATGGCTTCTCTAGTCAAAGATAAGCAATCTGAGACGCTGAACTATTCCTTAGAGTTCAACTAAATCATTAATTAACATTTACTCTCTGTGATCCCAGCTAACTTGAGACTCTGCTACTGCAGATGGGGGCTGGGAGTTCTGATGCAATTATTACCAGTGCCACAGTGACATGGGGATGGATGTCTTCTTAGGAATAACAATGATGACATCACTTTCACTGGTACATCCTAAGTTCCAGAAACTGTATTAATCACTTATAAGGTATTAGATTTCATCTTTGTGCCCAGTCTTTTAGCTGCAGGTTATTCTCACCATTTGACAAATGAGGGAAATTGAGGCTCAGAGAAGGGAGGTAATTTTTCCCTTGATCCTACAGTGAATGGTTAATCGAGATTTGAACCCAAATTCTCCTGACTTGAATTCCTAGATACCTGGTCATCCTTCACCTGTGGGAAGCCATCAGAACAAAGCAACATCCAGCAAAATGCCAGGAGTGTGGATCAGCAACATACAGGGATAGGTATTGAAGAAGGAAATAGCTTCATGAAATCATTCATTGAATGAGATTTCTCTTTGTGTCTCCGGTGCTTCCGAATGAATATAGGACCTTGCACATGTTAGGCAAGTGCCCTACCACTGAGCTACACTCTCAGAGCTTTTAAAAACGACTTCTTTAGGGCCAGGGATTTAGCTCAGTGGTTTCACCCCCGGCTGCACAAGCACAAGGACCTGAGTTCGATCCCTGGTACCAAAAAACAAAAAACAAAAAACCTATGTCTTTATTCATTTTGGTTCTAGGAATTAAACTCAAACCTCACACTGAGCTACATCCCCAGCCTTATTTCCATTTTGAGACAGGGTCTCAAACTTGTGACCATCCTGCCTCAGCCTCCCCAGCCACCCTGGATGACAGATGTGCATTACCACGCTTGGCTCAACAAGTCTGTGATGAACACGGATACAGAAGGCTGGGGTGTGCAGCAGGAAACCAACAGAGCATTGGGGCATCAGAGTCTGGTGGGGGCACAGCCCTTAGAAGGATGAGTGCAAGGCGAAATGTGGTAAGGAGTATGGAGAGTGAGTGATGGGAAGAGGAGGAACGGTGATAGCCACAAGGCTGCTTGAGAAGGAGCAGTTATTTTTAATGAATTTTATTGGTACATTTTAGGTGTACAATACAATGACATTCATCATAGGAAATTTGCACCTCTACATAATCTCTCTTGGTTCTTATTTTTTCCCCATTCCCCTTGCTCTCCCTTCAACCCCTCCATACTTCCTTATTTACAAAGACTTTGTTTCCATTTTAATATCCGATTTCTTTTTTCTTTTTTTTTTTTTTGATACCGGGGATCGAACTCGGGACCTTGCACTTGCAAGGCAGGTGGTGGAACCACTGAGCTAAATCCCTAGCCCAAGAAGGATCAATTTAAACAGAGACTGAAGTGGATGTTCAGAGATAGAGTGAATACAGACCCACAGGATGCCTGTCGGGGGCCAT